CTTCTGCGCGCGATGCGAATTTGCAAAACGAGTCAGCGCTGCGCTGGTGGGATTGTGAGGCAGGCGCAGCGGGCGTGCAGAGGGACGGCGGCGAGACGCTCCATCTACTTCTCTCTAGATGACCTTTCGCAACTTGCAAACTTTGGCGCTCGCGGCTGACACGCCGACGCGACCGATGTGCGCATTACATAGTGTCCTCATGGTCAATCGGAGAAGCCGAGAAAATTATGCGGGAACTGCACAAGCAAATATGGTAGGGTATGTATTTTTTTACAACTTTTTTTCAACTATTTTCCTGCGGATGCGTGGTGCAGTCACACACGTGACGTGGGTGGCTCGGGCGTCGCCTATGCATCATCATACTTATGCCTTGTTTCAAAACGTGTCGTCCCTCATCCTCCTCCTCCACCAACTCCAAGTCGGCGGTGATGATGCACCTTTTGACAGTGAGAAGGCGTCCGCCGTCGTGTTGCCGTGAAAGCTTTCTGACGGACGGCGCTAAACGGTACGAACGAGACCTTTCAAAATTCGAGCGATTAGGGGTTTTCTTTGAAAAGGGGAAAAACACGGATGGGCAGCGGGGCGTCGGCCTAGCGCGCGCACGCGAGGCATGGCCCGCTGCGTGTCGAGGGACGCACCCGCCCCGCCCCGCCTGCCACGAACTGGACCGGATAAGAGGAGCCGCGCGATGCCCTTGACGCCCCACGACGACGTAATGACCGCCGCGACGACCCTTTCACAGACTCGCGCGGTCAACGTGGTCCTCTCTTCTTCTTTTTTTTTGACAGAGTCGGCACTGTGCGGGCCGGAGAGCAGGCGTTTGTTGGGCAACTGGTCGACAATACACGGCCCATTTGCAAAACGGTGGCCCCGTAGTCCCATGGCCCGCGCCGCATCGTGCGGACGGACGGCCGCTTGCAAGTCCCACGAGGAGGAGGGGGAGGCGAGGCCCGCGGGGCGCCTGCGGCATAGGCACGCCCGCCGTGCGCGGCTGCCCGGCAGGGTTTCCTACCCCGCCGCCCGCAGGCGCTCCCCCGACTGTCGGCTCGCCGCCGGCGGGCCGCGGCGACCGTACGGATCAACCGGTGCAAAAGCTTCCGTTGTTAGGAGCATGCGATGGCGGGGGCCGGGGGGGCCTGCTCGCAGCGGGTGCCGCGCCGCGGGCACGGCGACCGCAGGACGCTGGAATGGGGAGGGGAGCGGCTCCCACGGATGTGCGTGCGAGCCGCACGTTGCCGCTAAACGCCACCAAACGCACACCCCAGTCGTTTTTCTTGTAGCTTTTATTTTTCATTCTTGTCCGTTTGACGCGCAGCCCAGACGTAACTTCACGCGCGCGCGCGCTCGCCTTTGAAAAGACGCGGTCGATACGCCATTCTCCGCGGCGCGCGCGGCCCGCGGCACGTCAACGAACGAGGAAGCCCTGGTTTGTAACGATGAGACCTTTCGGTCGGCGCGAGCTTCACTTTTGCGCCGCAGGAGACGAGTGGCTGGCTCTCTAGGAAGCGCTGGCAAAGGGCCGCCGTAGGGTGGAGAGTGCCAATTAGAAATCCTTCGACACATTCCCCGCGGCCCACCTCCTCTCGCACGATTGGACGCACAACCTCCCCCCTTCGAGCGAGTGCTTTCGAGGCGGAGAATAGGATCCCCTTTCGCCGGCCCCTGCACCTTGACCGCGGCCTCGACGACGCAGCAATAGCAGCGCATCGCCTTCCATAATCATTTTTTGACCACTTTTCTTTCTGTTGCGCACACAGGTACAGCACATGGGAGGTGCTTACGACGTGTGAATGAGGCTCACCCCCCCCTCTCTCTCTCTCTCTCTCTCTCTCTCTCTCTCTCTCTCTCTCTCTCTCTCTCTCTCTCTCG